TTGCGAAGACGATAGCCTGGATCAGGCGCACCTTAGTCTCCAGTCTGACATCGTACTTCCTTTTGTACCTAGCAAATTCTGCCCTTTTTAAGTTATTTCTGCCAGTGCAGATCTTATTCTCCACTGCTTGTTTAAAAACTGTTAAGAGACCAGAGGGTTTTTCACATTTGTATCCTACCATATAAGCATGTAGGTCTTGATTATAGGCATTTATTCAATAGTTAATGACTTGGCATTTGTTTTATCAATAAATAATGAAAGGTTCTTAGATCTGACTTACTTGACAGTTTTAACTCACCACACAATTTTCATTTATCCTTACCAAGACTATTTTAGAACAAATTTATCTACTTCAATAGTTGCCCTATCTGATAAAAAGTAAGATCATTAGAAATAGCAGATATGGCCAGTTAGGAATATACTATACAGTGCATAAGGCTGCATGCCCTGAACCTTGCAAAGTACATTCTGTTCTTAGAATTATATTTAATATTTTTTTACTGAAGAAATGAAAAATATAAGGTATTTTTTTCAAGATTTTGAGACAAGAACTGTGTTGAAGTAATAATAGTATTTTTTTTTCTCAATCATTTTTAAACAAGAACTTTTTACTTGGGGTAACTTTATGAACAATATATTGGAGGAAAAACACAACAGGCAAGCTAAAAACGGAAGTGAAATTTGTACTGTACCTCATTTAAAATTCCAAAGAAATTATAGGGTCTTTTAGGCCCTGGACTGAGAGAGGCATCCACAGAGATGAAAGAATAGTTGCCAAATGGTGTACTGTGAACATAGTGGAAAGAGCCATCCTTACGTACAGCAGAATATTTCCTGGGGGGGAAAAAAGGCAATAAAGTAGGGGTTTTTTGGTGAGAAAAATTTGTATTTAGAATCAGCCAGCTGGACTCAGTTTAGATGATCCCAATTTTGTTGGCAACATCTAAAACATCATAGTCAGGAGAAAGTTGAACATAGGCCTTCTTCTCTCCATCAGGCCTAATCAAA